AGAAATTCGAAGAGTTACCATGACTAGGATGGATGGATGGCAAACGTGCCTCGCTCTCGATACCTGTTCTGCGCCTGCTCGTCATCGATACCGTCCCAGCTCACCCAGCCGTGCTACTACAGGAACATACGCACACACGGAAACAGGCAGCCTAGCTTGCGTAGCGCCTCATATTATCTACGAAATAGCCTACAGTACATATAGTCGACCAAAGCTCGAAATGAGCCGAACAGCTCAGCGGACAACCCAATCATTTTGGAACAAGTCATTGACCAGGTTTCCCAAGTCGTGTTGCCAACCATCTATTGAACAACTGCCTTGCAAGCTTGCCCATGCCGCTTCTAGCACTGCACGACAGGGAACACAGTCTCGCAAATCTGCTCGCAGCCTTGGTCTCGTGGGATTTCGTTAGACTAGATCAACTACCCCGCTTACTCATGCGGGCCCCTACTTCCGAGTTCTCGCGCGGTGTCTCGCTAGGTTTTCTGCGAGCCAGTCGCTTCTTGCATTTGTGCGACATCTCATTCCATGTCGCTCTGACCAATCGGCCACACGGGCGACTGGCGGACTAGGGGGTGTTCCTCGAGTTTCAGGGGGATTTTCCCGGGAAGATTGGGAAGAGGACTTTGTAGTTTGGGGGGTGTTTTCCATTTTTTGGGGATTTTTACATTTTTACAGCTCCACAGGGCCAGCAGGGCCAGGGGGGATGCTCCCCGTGACAGAGAGGGGGACCCCAGAGGGCTGATCCCTTTGGGGGAAAACCCGGTGATACATGGTTTATGCCCCCCCCCCCCCGTTTTCGTCGCTTGGCAACGACGTTGTAAAACAAGCCCCCCACTCGGTGTTTGCCATCGGGATTGGGTTTTCGTCGCTTGGCAACGACGTTGTAAAACAAGCCAATTCACTTCGTGAACTCCGCAGCCAGGTTACCGTTTTTTTTTTTTTACCTCTGTTTTTTTTTTTGGCGGTAACCATAATGGTGGTCGAGTAGATCATGTTGCGCGGGGTCGAGAAACCTCACTCCGCGCAACGGGGGATGATCGCACCACGTTGTGTTAAAATGGTCAAGCTTCCTCGAGGCAGTTACACAGTGCTTACAACTGTCTCTGGAAGTGAAAGCACCAGGAAGTAAATTAAGTCATACGCAGCTGTCATCCGTACGCAAGGAAGTAAGCACAAGATGCCGAACACCCTTAGCAGGATGCAGCTCACCCTTCATGCGACTCGCCAAATACCTCACGGCGCTTCGCGCTTGGTGATGTGAGAGCCTGGTCCGGTGAGAACCCGGCGTGTTCCGTCCCGGCTTTGTAGGGATGGGGGGTCAATGGTCAAAGGATTCCGGCATGCAGGATTATGAGTCCCCCCCCCCCCCCCCCCCTCCCCGGTGTTTGCCATCGGGGTTTGGGTTTTCGTCGCTTGGCAACGACGTTGTAAAACAAGCCGCCCCCCCCGGTGTTTGCCATCGGGGTTTGGGTTTTCGTCGCTTGGCAACGACGTTGTAAAACAAGCCCCCTACTCGGTGCTTGCCATCGGGATTGGGTTTTCGTCGCTTGGCAACGACGTTGTAAAACAAGCCAATTCACTTCGTGAACTCGGCAACCAGGTTACCGTTTTTTTTTTTTACCTCTGTTTTTTTTTTTGCGATATCCATAATGGTGGTCGAGTAGATCATGTTGTGCGGGGTCGAGAAACCTCACTCCGCGCAACGGGGGATGATCGCACCACGTTGTGTTAAAATGGTCAAGCTTCCTCGAGGCAGTTACACAGTGCTTACAACTGTCTCTGGAAGTGAAATCACCAGGAAGTAAATTAAGTCATACGCAGCTGTCATCCGTACGCAAGGAAGTAAGCACAAGATGCCGAACACCCTTAGCAGGATGCAGCTCACCCTTCATGCGACTCGCCAAATACCTCACGGCGCTTCGCGCTTGGTGATGTGAGAGCCTGGTCCGGTGAGAACCCGGCGTGCTCCGTCCCGGCTTTGTAGGGATGCGAGGTCAATGGTCAAACGACTACGGCATGCACGACTATGAGTACACCCCCCCCCCCCCCCCCCCCGG